TCAATTTCGATGATACGTATGAACAATAAGCAAACTAAAACCTCTCTATATATTTCGGGGTCCTCATTTACCATATGTAAAAAATTCGTTCTTAATATTTTTAATTATTGTATAACCCGGTACAAATAATAAAACCTATACAACTAAAGCATTTATATAATTCACCTTAGCTCTCCAGGTTGCTACAATTAACGGCAGAGATGTGTGTGGTATTGGAATCAGTGACTCTATAGACTTTACTCGACTAAAACGACACATATAGCCCTAGGGGCAATCTAATTCCAGTAACATTTGCCTGCGATCTTTAAAAAAAACAAAATAACGAAATAATATATGAAACCCACTGTTGTCAAACTACATAAAATTGTTGTTGACCATTCAACTTCATGTCCCAATTGCACAAACATGTCTTTTAATGTTTTCAGCAGCTTGAGACCGCTTTCCACGAGCCATTCAGTGCCCTTGTCAGTTTTATAAGTTTTTCCAGCTTCTCTACCACCGAATTCCAAATCTGATGACGTCCTCAATATAGGTCTCCCTTCCTACCAGTCTTTCTTTCTTTCCATTTTGTTGATACTGGAAACAGTACAGTTATCATTTTTTCATATACCAGATGCAATACTACAGGACTCTCCACTATATAATTAACGTTAATACTATTCCTTATTTAAAACCTCTCATTTTATTAAATACACTACCGAATTGGGTCCATATTATCGACATCTGAGAAACATCTATCGACAATAGCGCACCAGAGGTGCATATTATACCATTGCTCACTATGGTTTTTCCTTAGTGATCCTGTCTCATACTCCTGCATACTATAAAAAAAATAATTTAATATATAGATGCAATAATATTGAGGAATCATTGAAGTGTAGTCCATACCGATACATAGTGTGCATCACATATTTGACCCAATTATAGTCATGATATCTGACCCAATCGTAATTATTATGGTTTTCTACTCGGGTAGTTGGCTGATTTATTGCATTTCTTAGTTCGTGTAATGTATGTACCATTTTCGAGAATATAACTGTTTAGTAAATAATAAGGATCTATTTGGGTTCTTTCACAGAAAAACCATGGTTTTTCTGTGAAAGAACCCAGTTTATCCCTTTTGTACTAATGCACCTACTTTTGCAAAGGTCATTAGATATTCCAAAAGGTCCGGAAATTTGGGTAACCCACATTTATTGTGAGTTTCTATCTCTTGTAGCTCAGCTTTTGTAAAAACGTTATTTTGCGAATATGACATATCGGTAGGGTCTATAATGAAGCTGTGTGAAGCACTTTGAAATTCCAAGAAGGAATTCACAGATTGCAATGTCAATATAAAAAATTTTATTATAAAATAGAATACATACTGTTCAAATTTTACAAGCAAATTCGTAGAGAGCATCTACTATTTTATAATTAATGCAAAAATGGTTCTTATGACTTAAATGCATATATTGTCTATATGTATAAAAAAATCTTTAACGGATAGTATGCAATTAGACAGTACCGACTGTACTTATTTTATATTGGTATTTAGATT